TGGCTGGCGTTGTTCCTGATGGTTCGGAGGGATATCTTGATATGAGGCATCTGCTATGTTTCCTGTAGAACCGCTGAGCCATCATAGCGATATCGTTAATCGGCGTATGGGTTGTTCACGCAGAGAGCCGAATGGTGAGTTCGCTCTCTGCTCAGATCCCACAGCCATCTGCTCGAATACAGTATCACCTGTCGTCCCGTTGATCATCGAATTGCTCGAGCGGGCGCCAGCAACGTCTCCATTCGTCCCTGTCGCGTGCAAGAGTTGTCCAGTGGACCCTCCTCGCTCGAGGGACACGAGTCCTTCATTCCTTTCGTTCAGAGCTTTCGTGAAGAAGTCTGACCATCGGGCCGGCGGTCGTCCAGGTGTTCGTTTGACGTCCCGAGGGATCCAGTCGGTAACCGCTCTGGTCCAACGGTCATCGCAAAATCGCATGACGTGTCCGGCCCACCTTATCTTCGATTCCTTGGCGAAAACGGCAGCGTCCCTGATCTTCGATCGTTGGCGTAGTTCGGAACTCCGGATTCCCCTCTGCACTTGCGTGTATAGGGTTACTCCTAGCATCGTCCTCTCGACAGCGCGTTGGATAACGCTGACCGCATGCTCGTCCTGCCTGCGCAGAGTCCAAGTCTCTGAGGCGTAGGTTAGGGCAGGAAGGACAGCGGAATCGAAGAGGTGGGCACGGAGCCGGATGTTCTTCGTCTTCTTCACTACTCCCTCGATGTTCTTATACGCTCCCCAAGCCGCTCGTTTCCTCCTGCTCAGCTCTGGAGCTAGATCGTTCATCATATTGATTTCCCGACCTAGGTACACGTAGCTGGAGCATTCGGTGATGTTCGTTCCGTTGAGCGTGAATGGGGCATCAGGAACCAATCCGTTTCTCATAAACATCGTCTTCGTTAGGTTCAGCTGTAGACCGACCTTACCACAGGCGCAGTCGAAATTCGTATACTTCGTATAATGTTGGAACAACAGCGACGTCGGTCAGGCAAAACCTTCGATTGAAGATGATGTGGTCTATCTCGTTATGGAACTGTCCATCAGGTGACTCCCAAGTCCAACGAAGGTGAGAGGGCTTCTGGAACTGTGAGTTACCATGGATGGTGTTGGTCGACATGATAAACTCAGACAGTCTTTCGCCCTGCTCATTCCAATCCATTCCGTGAGTACCGATGTGAAGTTCTTCAGCCGTTCTTCTTGGGCCAATCTTAGCGTTGAAGTCGCCGACGATGACCTTGAAGAAGGTATGATCTTCCTGTAGAACTTCTCCAATTCCATATAAAATGCTTCGTGTTCCTCCTCGTCGTAGCTGGATGTTGGTGCGTAGGCGACGAAGATTGTCAAAGCAGGAGTTGAACCACATCTTCTCAATCTCAAACGTCCGATTCGGGTCGTAAGGCTTTCGTACGAATCGATGTTTATGGCCAAGTGCGTGTTGACGAGGACACCCACACCGCCAACGCCTCTGCTGTCGCATGTTCCAAGGAACAGTTCTTCTCCAGTATCGAAAACGGCGTGTAGCGGGCGGTGCCTTCTCGTCTCGGTCAGTCCGATGACGTCGTACTTGATCTTCCCGGCTTGGAGGGTACTACGTAACGTAGCAGCAGCAATGCGCCATGCCAACGATGAACATTGTAGGAAATTGGAGCAATTGCGACTACAAATGCTTGCTACGCCGTCAGAGGCGAGGATAGGGTTACCTCTATGGCGCAGGACGTTTGTCCCCCTTGATACGGTCGAGGAGCTAACGGCTATACAGTTGCGAGTAGTTCAAAACTTCATCACGAGACCACCCACGGTGTATCAGAGCCAGCGCTCATCCCTAATTATCAGGGAAGATCCACCAGGTTGTTGTTGTTGTCGTCGAGCGAGCCTGTTAGTGATATTAATTCGTACAACTCGTTGAATACTACGTTAGATAATGCGATCGAACTTATGGGTCAGCTCGCAGTCGTTCTACACGACACTGATCCACGGAAGCAGTGCTTCACAGCCCTCATGGCGGTTTTACCCGTTCGACTGTTCATTTCTCTACTTGTAGGCTCAACTTCCTTCTTTAGGTTGATTGGGTTCACTTTATCCTCTTTTTCCCGTTTTCAGTCTCATTCCCTTTCAGCGTTATTCTTGCTCTGCCCTAGTACAGCCATAGCTGTTTGCTGTACGTCGCCTCGGGACCCACTCGCATGCAACCGCAGGCAATGGCGCCTGCAGAGCACACGGTAAGGCTATCGATCGATCAATACGGCCATTCGGCCCACTTAGGTAGTCGCGTGCGGCTTCATTCTTCTCTATCGTTCCCTTTTTGATTGCTTTACATTGCACTACCTTCACGCCTCTTTAGCATCCTTAAGCTTTCATCTCACTCGTATCACTCGCACATTCTTTCTCGCAACAGTTAGGTAGTTTGACTAATTCCAGGTCACTCAGCTTATTCTGCTATTCTTGCTACTAACTTACTAACGCTCTTTCGGTATGACTAGAAGGCTTCGCTCGTCAACGATTAGGACAACGGCTACACCAAAGTCTTCTTCTATGACGGTCGCGAAATGGTCAGGTAAGAAGGTAAGCACCAAATCGGTGCCAGATGATCCGTCATCTTGTGTTTCGTCGCCACCTTTGCCTCCAGCGCAATCAGAGGTTAATGACTTGTCGACTGACTTTAGCGGCTCCGTGAGCATGGTGCCGTCAGACACAGCTCCTCAGCTGCCGGAGTCGGCAGACAAGTTGACCCTTGACGAGGGAGGCAAAGGTGAAGATACGGACTATCAGGCGCTTGTGATTGTGGAGCCGATGGATCAGTCCATCCCTCCAGAAGAACAAGCGGCTCCAGAGGAAGTATCTGTTATGTCAGCAGCGCGTACGAGCGCACCTCTTATGAAGGAAAAGGTTATTCGTTCTCCTCTTGTTTTACCTAAGCCTGGTGCTCCCGCATCAGATGCTTCAGCTCAAATTTTAAAAGAGCGTTTTGCCTTCAGAACAGGACGTTCCGCAGGTAACACGTTTGTCACTTGAACATTCTTTCAATCCTCAAGTGCAAACTATAGGCGATTATGCTCGAGTTCTTCGTCAAGTGGGTCGCGCCATGCGCGAGGCACACAACGACTATTTGAAAGAGTTCAAGCGTTATCGCTTCCTGATGGGTGTGTGTACTTAATTTGAAACTGAGTACGGTAGCGTAATTAGCGGATTGCTGTAGCGTACGGCAGGTCACTTCGCGCCTCCCTAGACTTGCCTGTGGGATGACCCCACTTAATTGCTTGCGCTGAATATAGAGGCAAGTGGAATAATTGAGTGCTTTAAATGCTTCAGGTCAATAAATTTTTGAGTATCAAATAAAACTTTATTCAACCCTTTGGCGACAATGGCACCCACCGGGAGGTGCCACTCTGTCCTCGCATGGGACAATGGCACCAAATGTTGGGTGCCCTTGAAATTTAGTTCTTTGCACATTTGAAAGGTTTTTATTTCTACTATTCATTCCTGTATTAATAAGCATAATGTTTATGTTCGGCTTCATAATGTCTATGTTTAGCAGGTTTCACAGAAATGTTCAAAAAGAGCTAACTTATGGAGAATTTTAGTGGCGTTTAGCCCGCTAGCAAGTTAACAGGGGTTCTTCATGACTAAGCATTCCACCCTTAGGTTGCCGAAAAAGGTTTGCCCTGTTTCTTTTCGAATTGGCCGACCGATAAGCCATAGCAATTTTCAAATTGAAATTCTTCCTCGTGAAACGCATTGTTTTATATCAACTGGTGTATCTTTTGTGAGCACTTCTTCTGCTCTATTCGCTCATTTGTTTTGTTTTTATGTTTGTTGGGAATTAGTTCGAATTTTAGGTGTTTAGGATAAGGTGCTTTATCCACGAAAGTGACCGCATTTCTTTGAAAAAAATTATCCTTGAGAAGATGAGAAAATCAACCAGGCGTACATTCCTAACTTAGTCATGACTTGTTCTTTAAATTCTACTAGTTTTTCAATGTCTCGGCTATAAAAAAATTTCGACCTAGATCTCAGGTAATGGTGCTTGACCGTCGAGTTCTGGTTGAAAAACCAGGTCTGGAAATGGAATGACGCGACTTGTTGGGAAACCTAATAGTGTAATGTTTAGAAGAGGTCATGCATAAGTAGAGGGTACATCATTGATTGATTTCCCAAGGGAAGATAAAGTTAGAGCTAGTTGTCGGTTTGGTCAATTTTTGTCGGCTGGACCTCCCATTTCGCAGGCCTAAAATTTGAAAACCTGGAACATAGATGGAAGAAGAACATAACATCTTGTAGAGCAGACAATTCTCTTTCGAATGGTATATGACTCGATGTAAAAGCATGGGGATTTAGATGAAAATTTTTTGGTTGAAAAAAGCGACACTATTTATGAGACAACCTAAATATTATTAGGTTGAGCAAAAATTTTGCATTGTTGTTGATAAAATGTGATTTTCTAATTCCCCTAACGATCTCAGTACATTCGCGCCTCCTAGTAGTACTAAGTTCAGAAATAATTGGAAAAGTTCAAAATCTTGATCACGATAAACAACCGTCCATTTACTTAGTCTTCCTATTAGCTGCTTCAAATTTGACAGCCTCTTGTTTGAATTTGGGTTGATTATCTACATCTGGTCTCAATCTCCTAGTGTGTGCTAACAAGTACCGACCTTTTCGTGATCCAATTCACATGTTTAACGTGGCACTATCGGATCGTGCGTAGAAAAGAACTTAAACATAAACTCTCCCCCATACCCTCCTAGAAGTACGTCGACAGCACACTGTTCACATTCACACTGTGGAGGAAATAAATAAATTAAGGCCTCCGGATTGGATTGGCGCGCTCCACGGCGAAAGACGCGACGCGGCCTCTCACTGTCCGGATGTCTATTGTGCCGTTTAACACATTGCAGCCCGCGTGCATCGCCGGGTATGCACGTCGAAACTCCCACATCTGACATTTGTGCATCGCCGGGTATGCACATCGATTTTAAGCTCTCCCTCAATCTTTTTTCATTACTTTTGTGAATATAGAAGTTTCACTAGTGCCTCGAATCCATTAAACACATGGCTGCTCTCCATCTTGGGATTCAATGAACTTTTGGGATTTCAACTTGCACAACCAGTGCCTCAGTTTGAACCCTCAAAAACTGTTTAACAATAAACTCCAATGGCTACCAATTACCACATACATTTTCTGATGAGAAGCCGAGCAAAAAATAGCAAGAAGCAAAAAAACGAGGAAAAATAGAACAAAGAAAGGACAAAAGCAATACGTTGCCAGCGCAACGGGGAGGTTGTAGTTGAGACTGTGTGGATCCTGTGGCGATATACATGGGTATAGCGAGAGAGCGACGGACTTTTGGCTCGTCCGGGTTGGCACGCGGCAAATTGCGCGGCGAGCGGCGCGGCGATCCCGACGCATCGCGGGAATTCAACACGTCAACGTGTGAAGATTGCGGATAAAATCCGCAAGGTTCTGCAATTCGAAATGCATCTGAACGGCTGGAATTTTGAGGACAGCGGTGGTTGTAGCAATAGGAAGAGATGAGAAGGAACTAGCATAGTGCTGTTATGGCAATCATGTTGTTGGGGGGGGGGGGACGTTCCATTTGGGGGATGTGAGTGAGACAATTACTGTGTTTGGGACCGAGACTTAGGGAGGAGAAGGGATTCTGGGGATAGAGCTACCCTAGGACCAACAGCAGAAGGGTTCCCTGGCGTTCTTCCCCTCTGCTGGGCTTAGTCCTAGTGTCACCTACCATCGACCCTGTTTTGTTGTTTTGTTTTGAATGTTTCTCCTCTGGACGTGAGCGCCTCGATCAGCAAAACATATATAGTTGACATTAAACCTCAACAAGAACTCCCATTTTTTGCTTTGATGGTAGTAGTTACATTTACATGAGGGTCCTCACTCATCTCTTGCGCTGAAATCTCCTCACCGATACTGCTGCCTCCAATCCCCGTGAGCGGAAAGATTTTCAAACAGCAGAACCATGCGGAGTTTATCCGCAATCTGCACACGCATTGACGTGTTGAATTCTACCCGAAGAACCCGCGAAGCCTTGTCCCGTCCAGATCGCCGCGCGTGCCGCCGCGCAACTCGCCGCGTGCCAGTCCGGACGAGCCAAAAGTCCCGCACCCATAGCGAGATATATGGGTCCTGTAGCGAAATCCTACAAAATGTCCCAAATGTGACATTTGTGCATCGCCGGGTGTGCACGCAGGTATGTCACGTGTGGTATGCGGCGAAATCGCTGCGGGCCTCAATGTGTTAAGTTCTCCTGTTGAATTCTTGAGTGTAAATCCGCTAATTTTTCGCCTACGACCTTCCAAACAAGGGCTTGATATCTAAACCTCCAAGTGGTTGTTTGGAAGATCACGTAGGACGGTGGGCGGGCTCAATGGGGTTGGGGCGGCGCCAATGCTCCAACCTAGGCTCCTAGCGCCTAAACCTTGTCAAACCACCCGCCACTTCTGCAAATGCTCCGCGCTTGTATCCTACTAAACTTCCACCAGTAATCGCTTCTCGGCCTTTTGGCTATGATCGAAGTTTAAGTTTAGAAATTCCGAACTTTGCCCTTAACACGACCACCTATGGGGCAGACTAGTTTCCCTAGATTATTTTGCGTTTTATCTTGTTCCGCTACGATCTACGTACATTATTGTATCCGAAAAACAATTTTTCCATTGCTGGATGAAAACGCCGAAGGATTAATGCTCATTGATGAGAGAACACGAAAAATGTTGAGGGAGTACGCGCACAACTAAGGTCGTCAACGTGTTAATTTTGGTTGGACCATTCAGCATATTTGATGCTGGTGCAGAAATTATATTCCACACCAGAATGGGCACCCGGCAACCGCCGGCCCCTCCCTTCCCTGCAAAGCTGGCGGTCCTCCTCCTCACCTTATCCTCCCCTCCTCCCCTTACCAGGGTGAATATCGCTTCGAGGATTCCTCAACGGCACGTCGAGGATTCTCTGCCCGATCAGAGACGATCTCTCGCGCGGACATTCACACTCGCCATGCGCGTGCCGTCTGTGCCCTCCCCGCGGATGTTCACTCTCGGCACTACTCTCGCAGCTGCCACTGTAGCACCTTGTGAAATGACTGAAAGTATACTGGGTGTTTATACAGCCGTTGAGGTATTATCACTCACGTTGCAATAATACCTCGACACCGGAACAAACCGTAATCTTGAAGGTGGTGCCCCTCCTTCCTGCCCTTTCTCTTTCCTTCCCTTCCTCCTCTCCCTTCTACCCTCCCTTCCGGCTGCCACGGCAGCACCATGTAGAATGAGGCTGAGTGTGTTCGATCGGTGTTTATATAGCCGCTGTGGGTGTTATCATGATCATGACATCAACATCACGAAGTGTTGCCCTTCGTACTCCCTGGTTTTGTGAGCGGTTGGTCCGGACGGACAGAACGACACACACACACCGACAAACCGACACACCAAAATTCTGGTTATATAATGAAGTGATTGTGGGTTGCAAGAATGTGGAAGGGCATCGTCTTCAGTGCATAGGAGAAGGTAGAAAAAGGGCAAACGACACTTTGATGCGACGATCCGTCGCAGGACCTAGGTCACCACCTTTTGCTGTATACAATTTCGCTGAATCTAGAAATGGACCGTTCAACAGTTCCATGCACACTTGCTCTCATCGCGATGCATAAATCAATCCGTATCAACCCCCGATATCTCATCACCGCCCTCGAGTAATTGCAACTTTTTTAGTAGCATACATTTCTATGAGTGAGATGCAAAGAAATGATTCAACCACGCCCACTTTGAAGCCGTTCAGCTCCTTTCTAGCGGCTTTCCAAGGTGAGTTTTTTGTTCAGTCACACTTCTTATGTTCTTGACTAGGGCTAGCGCATCGTTCCACACCATTAGTGTCG